TAGTCCCTTTCATGATATATCGTTGTTCTCCTTACGGCTTGTCCACTTTCACTTTCCCCATCCCCTTGAAAGTATCCAGTCACTTTATTCAAATCAAAAAACATACCTTATCCCTTATGTGGTTATCAGCGTCTTCTAACTTGTTTGATTTGTCCAAATGTACCGATTTCAGAGAAATTCGATCTGATTGTTGGTGTCCTGTGATCACATCATTCTTTCGCTTCATAAGTGCAAATTAACTTTGTTTCATATTCAACTTACATGTTCAAAGAACTCATCGCAACTGAGGCTTAGAATATGCATTTACAGAGAAGGTCTTGGAAAAGTTTGCTTTCAGAATTTCATTCAGCTGTTTATGCTATTTTCAGTGATACGACCGTTGGTTTGTGGCGTCTTTCTGAAGAAGCATCTTGATTCGCTTCAAACTACTCATATTGGTACGATGTAATCATGTATATCTTCGTATGAAAATATTTGCAAGAAAACGACGATATTCTCTCGAGTGCTGTTTACGAGTTTACAAGTGAATGCCCATCATATTCGAAGCCCTTCACCGCACCAATTTTCTGTCTTCCAATCTGATGTTATCCCTTATTTCAGAACTTCGCACATTGCTGTTTGTTTACTCAAACAATTCAACACAAACATTGCGTCTGATAACCGATGCGTTTCATTCTGCTTTTCTCATTTCGTTTCGTTTGAATTATTTTAACGGTCACGCTAATTTCCCTAGATACCAGCAGCTGCATCGTTCAAGATGTACTTCAGTAGTGTGTTCTCTTTGTTTTGCTTCATCAAATTCACAACATTTTCGTTAAGCAGTGGAAATGTCTTGTGCGCGCATGCGTTATTTATTTTCTGGATAACTATATTTTAGATATTAAATTAATGTCCGTTTGAATGCGTTTCGGTTTTAATTGAAAAAAATTATGTTAAATTGTGTTGTCGTGTGCTTGAATCATCGATAATGCTTATTGCTTGAAATGAAAATTGCATGCATGTCCTTTGTGCTCGTTTCGAAACTCTTCGTTGTTGTGGTTCTATATTCTTTAATTAAAATCGCTTCGTTGTATAACATGGATATTGCTTGCGTGTAAACGAGAGAGATCAGAGCGGAATCGTGCAAATCTTGTGGTGAATTCTGGAAAAACTGTTCAATTCTGTATTTTTACAAAAATGTTTTTACAAAAACTCTTTCTCATGTTAACCATTGAATATGTGATTTTTTTATTGCAGTACATGATAATTNTTTTTTCCATACTGATCACATCTGATCACATTTGTCTTAGAACTGGAAACAGAAGATAGATCTATCTTTACGTGATATTCTTCAAAACTGTGATGTGTTCAGCTGTCATGGAATCAATCGTATTTGCTCAAAGCGAAAAAAATGTTTTAGATTTTGAGCGATCAGCGGAAAATTTCTGATTTCTGACAATGAGAGCGGAATTTTCGAGTTCATTTTCGGTGTCGTGTTCCATTATTTCATTCATTTTCGAATATTTATTATGCGAGTATAAAATAGAAATGAAAGAATTCCTGTCGCTCAACACTGTCGTTATTGTCGTCCTCTTACTGATTGCTTGCTCATCGATTAGTGGTTATAATTTCACTTAATTTGCCTTGTTCATCGTCGTATAAGCCCATTATCCGGTTGATATCCTTCTTCTTGAAATAGTCATTTATTTTGTTGAAGTCGATCGATTACGCTTTGCATTATTATTGCGCAACTCTTTTATTTATTTCATCAATTCAGCAACGATGCACGACATCAATCAGCAAAATCCATCTATGAAATGTATTCATCCATCGATCTTCTCATGAAAAAACGATGCAGCCCAATGTGCTTCCGCGATTCCATTCAATTGCGATCACAAACGTTTCTACTATTCATTGTCAATCCTATACTGGTTAAAATTATTATCGATCACATCCGAGAACAGTGCTATCATTTGTTTTGTAGAAATAAACCTTCATTGTCTGTGTTTCCCTTTTGGAC